TTGTGATTAAACGCACTTGATGGGGTACTTTTCTGGACTGAATTTAAAGTAGAATCTAAATACAGGTAGTCCCTGGGTTACAAACGAGATCAGTTCCTGACTGTCTCTTCAAGTTGAATTTGTAGGTAAGTCAGAATAGATGCATACAGTTCTTATTTAGCTTCACTTAGTGCAAGAAAGGAGACCTGGTGGTGCAGTGGTTAAAACACTCAGCTGCTAAACAAAAGGTCAGCAGTTCGAACCCACCAGCCGCTCCTTGGGAGAAAGATATGGCAGTCTGCTTCGGTAAAGATTTACAGCCTTGGAAACCCTATGGGCAGTTCTACTGTGTCCTACAGGGCTGCTGTGAGTCAGAATCAACTCGACAGCAGTGGGTTTGGTTTTTCTGTTTTTTACTGCAAGAAAAGGCTAGAAGCCTTTTCAATGATTTAAAAGCTGCACGTGCATCAAACGAATTCTTGATCGAGTGAAGGTTATTGTGATGAATTTGCTGCAAGTAGGGGCTGGTTCAATCATTTCAAAATAGGGGCAAATGTACATAACACTAAAGGGCAAGCAGTTGTCTGTAAGTCGGATCTTTGTAACCTGGTGACTGCCTGTCGAATAATACCTACTACCACGCTCATTCGTAATGACGACAGAATTTACCACAAGAATTTAGGTGAAGAAATAATTTTTACTCAGTGTCTTAGTTATCCAGTGCTGCTATAACAGAAAAACCACAAGTGGATGGCTTTAACAGAAATTTAGTTTCTCACAGTTTAGGAGGCTAGAAGTCCAAACTCAGGGTGCTAGCTCTAGGGAAAGTCTTTCTCTCTCTGTTGGCTCTGGAGGAAAGTCTTTGTCTCCTTTGAGCTTCTGCTCCTGGGCGATCTTCACATGGCTTGGCATCTCTCTTCCCCAACTCCACTTCTCTATCTTGCTTGTTTAATCTCTCTTATATGTCAAAAGAGACTGACTCAAGATACACCCTTCACTAATCCTGCCTCATTAATATAACAAAGACATCCCATTCCCAACTGGGATTATAACCACAGGCATAGAGGTTAGGATTTACAACACATATTTTTGAGGGACACAATTCAGTCCATAACACTTAGCATTTTCATTACTTGTGAATCTATTCAAACTTCATAGCTTCAAAACTTCTGTATTATTTCTGTAGTCACCAACGTCTACTCTTCTTACACAGACTCTAACTGTGTGTGTGTGTACATGTACACACACACACACTCTCTTACCAGATACAAGAAAACGGCCTGTGGAACATTTTTACAATCACACAACTTTACAGCCAGGAAGAACCACAGCTATCACCTGGTTCCTTATTCACACGTGAGGAAACTGAGGCTCAGCAATGGGCTCAAACATCTACTACTGTGAGGATGGCGCAGGACCAGGCAACAACCCCTTCTGTTATACACAGGATCGCTAGGAGTCAGAACTGACTCAAAGGCACCTAACAAGAAAGGTTGAGTAATTTGCCAAAGGTCACAAAGTAGTGGCGCCTGAGCATATGCTTGTAAAAAATGGACTAATTCTTATAAAGCACTAGGGTACTCTGAAGCACACAGATAAATAAATATCTGGTACTTCCAGATACAGGAACTGATTTCTCCCTAAATGTTTTTCTCCAAATGGATTACATTAAGATCAAAACTGATAATAGGTGTGAATCAAAAGTTATCAGAACCCTGAATCTAGAGCCTTCTCAACACCCTTCTCCTGTAGGGCTCCCCCCTTGGTGTGCATGGAGGCACTATCCTGGTCCTCCTCTGGCTGCTGGCTTTCCATCTCCTGCCTGGTTTCTGCATCTCTCCCACCACCCCAAATGTGGGTATTCATTTTCAACAGTTGTATCTTTGGCCTGCATCTGCTCATTCTCTGGTCAATACCCAATTCTTGAAGGTCTTATCTGCCTCCATAGCTTCATCATCCACTTCTAGACAATGACCAAACCTAAATCTCCACCCTCTTATCTTCATCCTGAGCCGCAGATCCAAATTTCCAACTTCTTGTGGGCAGTGTCACTGGAAGTCTCCACCGGTACTTCAAACTCAAAATGTCCAAAAGTAAACCCTTTTTTCCCTTCATGAACTCCAAATGCTTCTCCTAACTTCCCATTTTTCTATAAATGACATCTATATTTTCCTAGTCCAACTGTCTGTGACACTGACATCGATTTTCCTAGTAAAAATTGA